TAACGATATTCGGTAAAAGCAAAACAACCTTATAGAATGATAAGATAGTGCTTATTTATCTCACAAATTTTTTTGTAGATAATATATATACCCTCTATTTTTTAATAAAATATTGTACATTATGAACTGTAGTAATTAAATTGTAATGTTATATAGTAGTAATGCTATACATTTTTATTTGTAAATTTTGTGAAGAGATGAGATAAAATAAAAAATATTAAAAAAGAACACATTTAAATAAAAAGAGGACCGCCGATTAAACCCTAAGGTTGGCGGGGGTGGTGGAGGGCCTCTACAGATTGATCCATTTTTACTGAATAAAATTTTAGTTTTAGAGATTTTAGATAGTTAAAAATATATAATTAAATATTTTAATTATAAAAAAATGCAAAGTCAAATTATTCCAAAATGTATTTAATTAAAAATGATATTCGGTAAAAGTGGAGCAATCTTATTAAAATAAAACCGTCGATTAAAGTCGGTGCAGAAGGAGAGTCTCTACAGATTGATTTGCTTTTATCGAATAAATATTCGATAAAGGTGGAGCGACAAGAAATTTAGTAGGAATTAGTAAGAAAAGATGCAGTTAATCAAAGTAGAGTTTGAATTTTACTTATGAAATATATTGTATCGGATAATATCGTTGAATGACTAAAAATGTAATGACCAGCTCATTTGACCTGTATCTTAACTTTCTATCTGACCATTTCTTGTTGCAAAAAGCAGAAATAATGTTAAGTAATTTAAAATGCCTAAAATTCGATATTTCAAAAAGCCGCTGTGATTGACTGAAGATTAGGATAAGGTAGGTAGGTAATTAAAAATATTCTTTAATATAGTTAATAAGATTTAATTTTCGTTTTATGAAAATACACGTCTCTTTCATACATATGCAATCATGCAAAATATTCTTGCATTTCTTATTGTACATATAAACACGTACGTTTTTCGTGTATCACTAATTCGAGCTGGCGTTTTTATTAAATTTTGAATTTTTAATTTGAAAATATATTATTCGTAAAAAAATACTAAATTTAGGTAATATGTAATATAATATAGAATAATATAATATAATATAATATAATAACTTAAAAAGAACTGCCAGTATAAAATTGTATTTTAAAAGATTTTTACTTTTAGGCTTCCATCAAGAAATATCCAAGATAACTTAAATTTATCATTATATTTTGCACACGTAGCACGGAATTGAACCAAACAATATATTCATGACACGGAACAATATCGAAGACTATATTACTCGCCGGAAATAGCCGTAATCTGAGAGAAGTCATGATTTTCGAATGCGCAATTTTTTGAAAATAGAGCTCCAGCTGTCTCGAAAAGTGGATGTAGCACGGACGCGCACCACAAATTGTATACCCGCGGTGCAGAAAAGTGAATGTTGCTATGTAGTTTACATCCACTTCTTCAGGGTAGCGCACGAGAACATTTTGAGGTAACATTCAAAAGGCAGTTATGTCCTCTCTCAGGTTTTTCTCTGGTAATATTAAAAAGTTTTGGAGAAAGAAATTATATGGATATAATCTTGTGAGTGACTGATATTGATTGTTAAAAATGTCTCTTATTGAAAGAACGTTCGCTATGCAAAACTTCTACTAATCTAGCTAATTTTGTGAGTATTTTCGGGTTAAAGAGTCGCCAAGAAGCTTGTGCAGCTTTTTTCAGTAGGCAAACACTGTCCGAATGCTTCCAATAATAAAGGTTCTTCTTTGACCGCCATCTCATAATCTCGAAACGATATTTTTCCATCGTGATCAACATCAAGCTTCTTCAGGGCCAACTCCGACAAATCTTTCACTCCTTCGTCCGGATCTTCTTCACCGGGCTGCTTTATTAGGCAATTTCTACGAAGTTGCAAAAATATTTGACGACTACAAATAAAATAGATACGTCTGCGTTTAAATTTTAATAACTTTAGTTATTACTTGAGCAACTGAAAGATTTCGTCCTTTGTGATGTATCCATCGTTGTTTAGATCGTACACGTGAAAACAGAACACAATCTTGTCACGCAAACTACCCCGCAAGAATACATCTAATCCCATGATCCATGGCTCGAGTCTGATAGCACCCTCGATTTCTCGATCCCAACAGCAGAACAAGCGCTCTACCAGGATGTCCTCGGTGATGACGTGAAATGTGTTGTGGAGGAGTTCTCGAAAAATAGTCCTATCGATTTTCTTAGCAATGTGAATTTAAAACAATTTTAACATGTAATTAGTAATGAATTTTTAATAAGTAATCAATTAATTAATAAGTCAACTTCTTTATATTGTCTTCTTTGTATTGACAATACAAAGATAGTCAACTTTCGATTGCGTATGACATAATTACCTCGACAGTCGGCCTCGATTGTGGTCTTCTACCGATAGACATCGATCGTCCAACTTGTTGTTGGCTCGAATTGGTAGTTAACTTTTTGTAAAGTTTGCAGAGACTATCCAGTTCCACCCTGATAAAAGCAAATAATCAAATTAAACGCTAATCGAAATACATTGTTATACGCGTGATAACATTTATTTTATATATTTACTAGTGCATACATAACAGGCGCGCGCTTCGCGCGCGCTGCGTATTAAATCCCATACGTCTCCCAATTACATTTATACCAATTTACATTTTAATTAAACAAATGTTAATTTTTGATATAAAATAAATTTTCAAAAAAATGATGCTTTTCGCGCGGTGCGTATTAAACTCCATACATCGTCCAATAACATTTATACCAAACTATATTTTAATTAAACAAATTTTTAACAATTTTCAATAAAATAACGTTTTAACT